AATGTATCTAAAAATTTTACATAATCCTGTTTGTTCCATTTATACTTCAATATTAATTGTTGGTCAAGTTGATATAGTTTTTTTTTATTTTTAAGGAATTTAGAACTGTTTGTGAATAAAACGATAAACAGTATACATAGTTTTTGCAACTTAAACATACTTAATCGGAAAATAAAATAGTTATACTTTTTTTATTATTGTTTATTTGATATTCCCTTCGGTATTGAACCCTTCTATATAAAATGTATTCGAATAAAATCTAGAACGATGATGACTTTCTTCCGCACAGTGATGATTCTGTTCGTGAACTGCTACAGCGTCAACCTGGGCATGGCCGTGCAGAACGTGTTCACCGCCGCCAAACTGGTGGCCGTTGTGGTGGTGATCTGCGGCGGAGCCTGGAAACTGATGCAGGGCAACACACAGCACCTGTCGAATGCATTTAACGGCCCGATGCCGAACGTGGGCTCCATTGCGACGGCCTTCTACACGGGACTGTGGGCCTACGACGGCTGGAACAACCTGAACTACGTTACCGAGGAGATCAAGAATCCCAGCAAGAACCTGCCGCGCTCGATCATCATCGGCATTCCGCTGGTGACGCTCTGCTATGCCCTGATCAACATCTCCTACCTGGCGGCCATGTCGCCGGAGGAGATGATCGAGTCGGAGGCGGTGGCCGTCACCTTCGGGAACCGCGTCCTGGGGGTGCTGGCCTGGCTGATGCCCCTCAGCGTCACCATCAGCACCTTTGGCAGCGCCAACGGCACGCTCTTCGCAGCTGGGCGGTAAGCATAGCTATGCAAATCAACAGTGCTGGGGTGTACCTATAGGTACTATGGGTATCAATTACAAATTTAAGAGGCTTCCTTTTGCATTACCTAGGTAAAGATTTGTATTTAACTTTTGGACATGCTATGTTAGGTTATTGAATATTTTTATTTATTTTGTTTTCAAATAAGCTTGATACCACCAAATTCAATTTTAGGTTTTTTTCGCATATACGATAATAATAATTGTGTAATTTTAAAGCAACTTGAAGATAAGTTAATTCCACCGCATGTGTAATATAAAAGGATGCCAAATATCTGTGCTTTTACTTTTTAGTTTCTTAAAATCTCTCCCGACTAAAAAACTCTTGAGTTCTGAAACACATAAGAGAAGGTGTCCAAAAATTACATAGACTTTTTAAAATTGGTTTTACTTAAACCTTTTATATCTTAGAATAAATATTTAATTTAATACCAAATTTACTTTTCCGAAAAAATTATTAGTGACGATAGCTTTAAAAGTTCACAGGTCTCTATTTTCCACATTTCCCACAGTAAAGATTAATTTTCAAATTTTTCCAAGATTGGAATATGAATAAATATTTATAAGAAATAAAATCTTTACATTGGCTAAGACTAGTATTTGATTAGTTTAAAAAAAGGCTTTGCAAGTAATGTGAAATGCTTAACCATGGATGCACTGATCACTGATTATTTCTGATTTCGATTTTCGTAATTCTCTTGATAGCCTATGCTTTGCGGCCAGTCGAGAGGGTCACCTGCTGGACATTCTCTCCTATGTCCATGTGCGTCGTCTTACACCCGCCCCGGGGCTGATATTCCACGTAAGTATCTGATAGACTCTGTGTAGATTTTTGCATTCCTCATTGCTTCACAGATGATATGAACAATCCCAAATATGTCTCTTCATATCTAACTCAAATCCGATTGTAATTCTCTTAGTAATGACACATAGGTCACTATTACACACATAACTAAAAAAAATGTGTCGAAAAGTATGCAACAGTATATTTTGAGTCCGGAAGTCCGTGGAATTCATTGCGAGAGACGAAGCTCTCTTTTTCATTGCATACTTTTAGACCTTGTTAAATCATTTCAAACCGTAGTGCTTTCTAAGCCCTAACATGCCCTTTTATATGTAACTAGATCCCTAATGTAACTATCCTAGTAATACTACGTTTTGTGTTCCGCCTTCTAGTCCATTTGTATATACCACGTATAATCCGATCCTCGTTCTAAACTCCCCTATCTTTCTGTATCTTTCTCTGTGCGTATTTATCCCCGTCTCCAGTCGCTGATTGCCTCGGCAATGGTGCTGCATGGCACGATTGATTCGCTGATTGATTTCTTCAGCTTCACCGCCTGGATTTTCTACGGCGGCGCGATGCTGGCCTTGATCGTGATGCGCTACACCAAGCCCAACTATCCGCGGCCCTACAAAGTGCCGATCATCATTCCCGTTGTGGTCTTGGTCATCTCCGTGTATCTCGTGGCTGCGCCCATTTTCGAGACCCCGCGCGTTGAGTATCTGTACGCCCTGCTCTTCATCTTCGCGGGTCTGATCTTCTACGTGCCGTTCGTCAAGCTCGGAATGACGCCCAGGTTCATGAGTAAGTCACTGCAATTTCAGGGGGGAAAACCACATTGAAGGGCCTAAAAAATAAAAAATTGTATTTAAATTTATAGCGATAGTTTTTGAATTACTAGAGACCACGTAAATTAACATTTTGATGGAATGAAATATATTTTAAAGGTTGTTTAAATTACACATTGGGAAAAGCTTTGCAAATCTAGAAACTCTAGAAACTCAAAATCATTTATAAAGGTCTCCAAAACTATGCTATGATATATTTTAACAATAAGGTTACTTAATTCACAAAAAAAAACATTTTTTGAAAGTTTCCAACCTTGACAGATCTCTGAGAAATAAAGATTTGCATAAATCACTAAGATTTTAAAATCACTCTTAAATATTCGGGAACGCTTTAAAAATCCAAAGATCAAAGACTTTAAATTATTTATAAAGGTGTCTTAAACTATGCTATGATTTATTTATGAAAGATTTATTCATGAAATTATTTATCTCACGAAAGGTCTTATGAAGGATTGCCACCCTTGACAGAATTCTCTCAAAATAAAGATTTGAATCATTAAGGCTTTAAAATCACTTACAAATGTATCTTAAAAGTAGGCAACGATATATTTGAAATCTGAGAGTTGGAAAAAGGCCTTCTTTTTTATTGCATACTTTTCGACATCTTAATAAGCTGTTTTAAAATCCCAGTGATTATTGTGACACTTTAATTAAATTTGAAAAAAAAAAACATAACGTTGGGGCAAGTCCGTAACTAAATGTGGTTTCCATTAATAACTCGACTGCGTTGTAAATTCCGAGACTAATTCTAATCCTTACCCCTGCAGATAAGGTGACACTCTTCTTCCAGCTGCTGTTGGAAGTGGTGCCCACCTCCTCGATGGCCATGTTCGAGTGAAGCTGCCCCAGGAAGTGCTCAACTAGGTGGACTGGGGTCACCAAACTCGGAACGAGAGAAGCAAATACATTCACTTAATTACTATATACAAACGAGGATATGTGAGGAGTGAAGCATAGACGATATGGGGCAAGGGGCGATATGGAGGAGTGTTGAGAGCAACCTATATTGATATACTGACGTTGTCGTTGACAAAGTAGTGCTAGAGAAACAGAAACTATTTGAAATAGTCTCTTATGCTATGAGCTGGTTATATTCAAAGGTTATATATGAATATACAGATATTTAGTGTGTATCTTTATCGATTGTATGTAGCGCGTATAGGCCAAGTTGCATAGTTGATACGTTTATACAAACAAACAAATCTATATATACATATATTTTTGTGTTCTATTAATTGAAGATCAAGACAAATGACAGAAATAACTAAAAAACAACCGAAACACACTGAAACAGTCGAAACTATCCTTGCCAAGCGGTTGAAAGTGCGAGCCCCGAAAAACATTTAAATTTATTTCTAATGGGCCGAGGTTTGAGTACAGTGAAACAAAGACACCACCAATCCGTACAGTACAGTACCGTACCCACCTAAATCAACACTCGCCGCAGAGCTTTCGGGCTTATCCTTGTTTGATCACTCTTTGAGTTTTCCGTTGGCGCTAAATGCCCTCATTATATACGAGTTTAACGATCTAGAGATCGGCTGGAATAGCAATATTTATATATATGTATATGTGTGTGATGGAACGGGCATGATGATAACGATGATGATGATAATAAGGCAGAAACAAAAATAAAGGAAACCCAACAAGGAAACACAAAAGGACAATGGCAAAATACAAAATACAAAGACCCCAAACTGAATGTTTCTAACTTTGTGCGACAATGACGCGTGTGAAATTCGTAGGACTGCAAATAGGCATTAAAGATTTGTAATTGATACCAAAGTAAGGTAAAGAAAACAAACACTAAGAAAATTCAAACAAAAAAATAGAAAAAGCCAAGTGAAAAAGAAAAGAAAAGCAAACATAAATACTACTATGGATACTTGTTAAATACATTTTTTTGCGACTTCTGTCTGCTTTGACAAATCGTTGCAACCAAAGCTAGAACTAGATTTAGAGAAACGGTTATGCTTCTATGATTATTAATACTATACCATTTTTTTGTTGTTTTAATTTGTTTTCGGTTTTTCGCTTTTCGTGGAGGACTCGTCGTACACGAGTTAGAAAAAGACAGCAGATGCAGGTGCCATCTCGCTCGCAGCCAATATATGAATTTAACTTTTTTTTCAAACTATTTTTTTTTTTATAATTCTCGCTATGCTTATCAATTGTCTGAACCGATATACAAAACATTTATATCTTTACCTATATATAGGGATACTACAGAACTTACACACACATAAATATATATTTATATAATTTGTTAAGTTTAAAAATTTTATAATTTTATTACCAACTATTTACAATGAGCTAAACGGTAACCAGAACAAATCGAAAATCTCTATCTATACATGTACCTACCACCTAAAGAATTGTATTATGTAAACCAGAAATTGACGAAATAAAGTTTTTGAAACACAATACTTTCTTAATCTTTTTAAAAGTAATTAATAGAGCGTCTTTAAAAATAGACAATTATTAACTTTTATTTTAATAGTTAACTAAAGAGGACATCCCTTACATAAATCGAACAGATTTGAGAACGTTACTTATAATTATTCAACAATCATTTTTTTATTTGTCAACTTCAGAAATTCGTCAGGTTAGAATGACTTTAAAAATATTAAAGCTTTTTTTAACTGCCTATAAAAAACTTATAAGTCTTAAATTAAATTGCGGTCAGCAAACATACGATTAAAATACAAATGCAGTTCAACTTTTGCCTAGTCCAAAGATCGTAATACCCTCGGTTACGTATCCTTTTTCGCCTGTCTGTTGGCCACAGCGGCGTTGAATTCCGGAAACAAGATGCCGATCTCACGGAGGGCCGATGCCTCACTATCTGATCCGTGGCAGGCATTGCGGGTATCGGATAGCCCGTACAACGCCCGGATGCAGTTGGGATCGCTATATACAGCCCGGAACACCTTGGTCGGTCCTAGAAGACCACGCCACTTCTGAATGCAAGCCTCCGACTGCAGGATCAGCGCATAACAGGGTCCGCTGGGGGAGATATACATACATATATTTGTTTTGATTAGTTTTCGGTAATATTTAATAATATTAGACAATATAAGGCTACAGATATTTTTAAATAGCAATTCTGATTTCATAATGCTTTACCGTGCTAAATATGGACAAATCACGAAAATAATGAATCTTTATTGTATAAATAGGAAGGAAAGCAGGTAAAACAGGAAGAGAATTTCATATATCCACTTAAATGAGATTACGAATAATTTTGAACTAGGTCCAAAACATATTTATATCGTCAGCACCAGCAGATGGCGCTTGAAACACTTTTGCTTGCCGCAAAAGTTAGCTACGCCATCTGCTGGGAAATTTGGAAATCTTAATTGTAGGCAGGCAGGAAAGTGCATTTCACAGAAAATTCTAAACAATATTGGCCCTCAAATGATTTAAGAGCTCAAGAATGCAATTTCTAAATTGGTTTTGCAGGGTAACGGGTATTTTTTCTTTTTTTTAATGTAATAGTAATGCTTACCTGTTCATAAAGCTAGTTAGCCGGTGGTAGAAGAACTTGCCCTTGTGCTCCGCGTAGAATTGCTCCGACAGTTCTTTCGTAATGCAAACCTCCTTCTGGTCCAAAACCGTGAAATTCTGCGCGATCAGCGCCCGGATCTGCTGCATCGCATAGGTGTTTCGCAGCACATGGGGCTTTATCAGAGCCAAAGTTATTTCCATTTTATGTATTGTTTTGAGTTTCAACAATAAAAGGTAAACAAATTAGCTAACCAAAAGCCGCCGCTTGCAGTTCTGATACATCGATAAGGCGATATATCGATAAGCAAATATAAAGAGCTTGATTCCACCGGCACAAATTTTTAAATTCTTCAAACGTACTAGGGGTATTTCGCAAATGACTTATATACTTAGAAAAGTATTGTACAAAAAAACAACAAACCAATTACGTTCAGTTCTTGAATAATACAACAGGAACAATAATAACTTAAGATTCAGAGAAATAATTAAAAAGACCTTTCTTTAGTATTGTGCTTTGGTGACCAAAATGGAACATAATTTGATGCGATTAATATGTTAAATTATTCAGAAATGGAATCGGATAAGGTATTTGAGTATTATGTATATTATTATTATTTGAAATTAATATTTTTGCTTTGTCAAAATAACTTCTTTATTTAATACTATTGAAAGTCAAAAGAACACGCTAGTGTTCTGCCATCAGCAGTTATGGTATGTAGAAATAAAATATTTAAATGATTAAGTTTTTTTTAAATATATTTATATGTATTTTTTTCATATTGTGTTATATACGTTGCGCTTATACATATTTCCTTCTTTAGTTCTACAAGCTTAAAACTTGCATTTGCTGGCGGGTTTAAAAGAAGTGGAGTCAGGCTAAAATCATATCGATATAACTTTTTCACCACGCACACCGATAAGTCTTCGCAGCGTGCGGTCACACTGGTGCGTCAAACAGCTGTTCACATTACACAAGCAACCGCTTTTATAAGATTTCCCTTAGCTTTACCCGAATTATTTGAATTAAAACCACATCATGCCTTTTATGAAGGGCCGCGAGCCCATCCGGCGCACTCTCAAGTACCTGAATGCGGGAAAACTGGTGCTCAAGGACAAGGTGCGCATCTTCAGCGTCAACTACAACACATACGGCGACCATCACGCGGGAGCACGGTGAGTTTGGATCTATGGGATACATATATGGAGTATAGGGAATATATAATAATAACGCCACTCCCCCCACAGGGACTTTGTCTTCTGGAACATACCGCAGATCCAGTTCAAGAACCCCGAGGTCCAAGTGCTCACCCTGAAGAACATGACGCCCTCACCCTTCGTAAGGTGCTACTTCGACGACGGACGGGACATGCTCATCGATGTGGACGGCCGGAATCGGGACGACATCATCGAACACCTGGTAAAGGTGGTGGGCAAGACCCGGTAAGAACCCTTCTCAAGATCCAATCCTTCCTTTCTCGAAAAAAAAAACAGGGAAATGAAAGCTTAAAATATGCGGTGTTTGATGTTTTCTCAATTAGCATTAATATTCTCCCAGTTCACCAGGATTTTTTACTAGCCGCAATGATATCCAAAGATATTTTCAAATTGCGTTAATAAACTCAGGCCCTCATTTTAGCTTAATGAGTCTAGAATTTAGTCTTCAAAATTCCTTATTTGTTACTTCCTAATGGTTTCTATACTAAATATCGAGGTTATTTTACAGGCCTCGAACGTGTGTACAGCTGCGGTCAAAACAATAGTATTGGGAAAATGTAAAGTGCTTACAAAAAATACCTTTAAACATAGTTTTTTTCTTTAAATTTAGCTGAATGCTGATAATAAACAATGTGAGGTTTCAAAAACCTTCTATATTCTTTTAGTTTTTTAAGGAAAGTGAAAACTGTTAATAATTCCTTAACATTTCATATTGTAGTAATAATAATAATAATTTCATAACAATAACCATAAATCCTTGTTCATCTGCACTTTGTGAAGCAAAAATAAATGTTCATCAATATTGAAAATTTATTGAAAAATATTATACCTCCAAAAAATGTGGATATTTTTATTTGCCCAATTGATTATATAGTATTAGCTTTACGAAAATATAAAAAACCTTTTTCAAAAGTAGCTTCCAAACTATTTTTGGTTGCTAATTCCATAAGCTATGAAAACTAATATTGTTTTGATCGCAACTGTAACTCGATCACCTTATTATTGTCCATCGAAATCTCTGTTGAAAATAGGGACCATTTTTGAGATCGAAACGAACGGCCGATTTCAGCGTTCTTTTGCTATTAATTAGTTTACTTAGATAGCAAGAGACCTTTTTGTTGAACACTCTTTTTATTTTACACACCTTTTGAATGCATGTATGTTATAATCGTTTGTTCTTTTGTCAATTTCCAGGGAGCAACTGGACGCGGAGGCGCGCTTAAAGGAGAGCAAGGACAACCCGGCCAACTTCGGCTACGGATGCGGCAGGCACTGCATCTGCGAGATCCCCGGCCAGGTTCCCTGTCCCGGAACTGTTCCGCTGCCCGATCACATGCGCGGCAAGGTCCTATTTGCACCCAAGTAGATATCATCCGCCTGCGTTTGTTTCTTTTTTTAATAAATTAATTGTAAATTACACCTGCAAGGCTCGTCTGCTGAGGTAGCGCCCTAAGTACTAGAATTTTTACAGACTACGAGGATGAGACGGTGGCTCAGTCGGAGACCTTAGCGCCGCTTGGGACGCTGCTGTCGATGGTATGGCGCCGAGGACTTGCCGTAGCGCTGCGATCCGTCCCGGTCCTTGTTGAACTGATAGCGCTGGATGAAAGGCACGTTGGCCTCACCTCTGCCCGCCGTATTCAGCTCGAGATTGTCGTCCGTCTGCCGCTCCAGCACTTTCAGCTTGGCCTCGATGGCACGAATGGCTTCGGTTTTGCTGATCTTCTCCTCGCGTTTGCCGGTTCCCAAGGCAGGTATCTCCAGCCGTGGCTTTGGTTTCTGCAGGTCGTCCTGCAAGTTGATAGGCAATAAGCTAAATCAGTAATTGAGCAAGGCTTGAGCTCCCAAATTGATTTATTTCTGCTCCATGCGCAAATCGTTAGAATCGATCTTTATATCAACTTTTTAACTGGATTTTCTGTAAAGACTCCCTTGGAAAATAGAATGAAAATCATTTGAGTTGCTTACATATTTGATGTTTTTGGCCAAGCGCACAGCTATAGAGCGATTTCCCACGCTGGTTCCGTCGAGTTTCAGCAGAGCATTGGTGGCTCCCTCGTTCTGGAAAGGATTATATTTTGTTAGTAAGAAGAAATCAGGATTCACGATGTCTGAAAACGGCGCAGCGGTAGCCTTACATGGTTATATTATTATTAATTCGGAATCATAGCTCTGCAAATCATGATATAATCGAACAAATTTGAAATGTTATACAACATAAATAAATTCTTAAAGAAATTAAGCTTAATTAGTAAAATATTTAATCAATTTAAAATGTTTGCACAATTCTTCTTTTCTCTAACCAAATTTTTCTTTTTTTTTTTTTTGGGTATAAAAACGTATTTTTACTCTAAATATAGTGAAGTTCTATATTTGTTGCTTTTTATAGCCTCTTAAAAACTAGATCGTCAAAGTGTGCTAAAAATTCCGATAGTTCTCAAAAAAGTTGCTTAATTATGTTCACAAGAGCAAATTGCTGTTTTATTCTAGGAATACACATAACCAGTTCGATTTTATCCACCCTTGATTTTATCTATACCTATAGAGTAACAAGAAGTACGAAAATTGAGATGAAATTCTTGTTAAGAGGCTAATTTAGCAATAACCACGAACAGTTCTATTGTATAGGTTCTTAAAGGAATAGAGTAAAAGACATAACAATGAATGAAGAAGAGGACTGATGCTTACATTCCGAAGTTTTGAGTTATTTTACTTAGTTAGGTATAAAGGTGGAAATAATATGGGAATCAACATAATCTTGACTATTCAATCGCTCCTTAAGGGAATTGAGTACCAAAAAGTACTATGGAAATGATCCTGTACTGCCAATGATCCTGCGACCGCTGCATCGTTTACAACCAGCCATAACGCACTGTACCCACCTGCGCGAAGGTAACGAAGGCATAGCCCCGGGATTGGCCAACCATGGGGCCGCCCTTGTGGAACAGCATGTCGAACTTCTCGATGGCACCGCATTTTTGCATCAGTTTGAGGAGTTGAAACCGATTGGGGAAATGCAAGGGGAACTATTAGCACGACCGATTTGCACGGCATTTTTCTATCCACAACTTACTCGGTGATGCGCGAGTCCAGATTTCCCACCCAAATGCGTCGCGTCTCCTCGGAGTTCCCGCTGCCGCCGCCTGAACCGCTCGATCCGGCCTGCAAGGACATTTTACTCGTTACAAGGGATGTGAGGTAAGGTTTTACGCTAATTTACGCACAGCATTTGCCATTTTGTTAGCCAAAATAAATACAAAACTACAGTGTGTTGAATTCGGGTGAGCCGAGGTGTGCGGCGGTCAGCTGTTCGGCAATTCACCACAAATAGTGCTGACACAGCACACCAGTGTGTGGTGAGACTATCGGCTAAATTGGATGTGTATAGTTTTTAAATCAGTATAAATTTAATATTTTCATTAAAAGCTGTTTTAAAAACAAGCCCGCTTAAAAATGTTATGGGTATTTGTGAAACTTTAAATAAAAATCCTTACCCTCTGAAATAAAATAAAAACAAAAAAAACAATTGTAAATCCAAAAACAAATTCAAACATAGGGTAAACCAATTTTTCTTCTTCATAACTAAGCATTTTAACAGTGTTATAAATATTTAAATAAGAATAAAATACATATTTTAAGTGCGCTTTGGAAATATATAAAACTTTAAAGTTAAAAGTAGAAGTAAAATGCCATTGTAAAAATACCATGACGATCAAAATATTCTTTGATTTTTTTTTTTGATAATTTTAGGTTACGAATTAGAGTTATTTTCATTTATTTTTAATTAAATTATTAAATCGTCAAATAAGTTTAAAAAAATTCTTGCAATTTTAATCGTGTTTTATCCATACCAATTTCCTAAGCCAATGTCTACTTTTTAAAGATGACAACCACGTCGAATGGTTTCCAAGCGTCTTAAAACGAGATGACAAACGGAGAGAAATCCACAAAACCCTTTGAAATATGCAACAGACGTCCTCCGGACAGGATGGAAATAACTTGATGGGGACTCGTGTAGACACTGCTAATGCGCATTGTATGCGATAAGTTCCAGCAAGACCCCTTCCCTCGAGGTCCTTTTCACAGGCCACTTTTTCACTGCCCCAAGGACAACTTCCGACGACTTCAATTCTGGACACTGACTCGTTGTGAGTGCAAAAATGCAAGCTATTTTTATGCCAAGTTGGGTATGAAATGTGCAAGAATATGTTACGCATATGGCTTAAGGTCGCATAGGCATTTCAAAATTCCAAAAACTGAGTTGTGAATTAATTTTTAAAAATACCTATCTAAATATATATAAAATGCATATATAAATATTTGAAAACTTTACTCTATATCGAAACGAATTTATGTTAACTTTAAACACGAATAGGGTTTTTTAAAAATTTTAAATTAATATATGTATATAAAATATATTAATACCCATACCACACTGGTAAAATATTTTCAGCCCTTTTTTTGTTAAGTATTTGTGAGCGTGGTTTTTATACATGTATGTTTTTGGACCGGTTTCATGTCTTTTTTTCATCCGCTTGTCGTACGACCAGCACAAATTACCATCCTTAAGCTGAAGCACCATAAACAAGCAGCCGGAGATGGGAGTGGAATAGGGGTCCTGGCGATGAGGTCCTGGAGATGCATATGCCAAGCTTGTCCGGTGTCCTTTTGAGTTAGATAGCGATGATGAAAAACTGGCGCTTGATCTTTGTCCTGCATCGCTGCTGGCTGCTGCTGCACCGGCATTTGTTTAAATAATTCACCGAGACGCCGGGCTCCACCATGCATATCGAGTTTGTCCAGCCCGGACGCACTCGCATGCATATGAAAGGAGTTTGGAGCTCGAGCCAAACACTGACCAAAAAAACACTCCACACCCTTTAAATCCACCGCTTTAAATACATTCAAACATAAACGTACCTCCTAAAAGTTTAGAGAAATGAACAAAGTCATACTTCTAAAGTCTGCTCCTGTTTAGCATTTACTGTATAAATATCTCTTAAAATATTGCACACGTTTTTATTTTAAACTGAAATTGCCGGACACTGGCAAAAAAATATATTCAAGACTCTTAAAATCCGTAGTAAATGCCTTCAAACTCAATCGCATCGTAAACAATGTCTTACTTTTTTACAATTTGTAAATAATTGCACAAGATTTTTTTAAGTCAAATATTTTGAAGTCCCAAGAAATAATTATTTTTTAGATTAACTTTACAAGGTCTTCATACATTTATTGTATTCATAGATTTAATAATACCAGTGGTCTCATTTTAAATTCAAAACAATATAATATATTATAGTTTAATTATAGTTAAATTTTGGACTACTATAATAAATCAATATGTGCATCGCAATACATTTTTGAAAGTGTAAGCGTCTATCTTCGTTTGAAGTATTTCCAAACATTCGGTGCAGATTTTTGTACGAATTATTTTCAGAATGGAAATGTAATCCCCTGCTTGGTAGGGATTAATCGAGCTTGAAGACCACAGTGTAGCTCAAAATTGCATTTTAGTATGCATGCTGCAATTTCCATAAGGCATCCTCCTCCTGCCACAACTTTTGCGCTTATTCGTATGCCAATTTTTTATGGCACAGAGCTGGGAGCAACATGTTGGTCATTTTCTGCATACGTAATTCCTCCAGCAAATCACTTGATGGCGCCAAAATGGCAATTTAGTGGGTGCAGGTCATACGAATTACCCTAGCGAAATTGCTGCTTTAAGTCGCAGATTTTAATAAGAACAATTTTTAAGCTCATAAATACAGTCAAATGGTTAGCAAAAATTTCAATCCATGACTTTGAGTTATGGGTAATGCATAGTTTTATAGAGTCAAATCTGTATTTTGCGATCATCTTTAAAAATGTTATTGGTGGTAAGCCATTTGCAGTTGCCAAGTGATGAAGTGGTGGGCAAAAAAAAAGTGGTTCCAATTATGGATTTCATAATTTCCTTCCAGGAAAATTCCCAACAAAATGAATTTCCGTTAAGGGCAGACTTTGCGGGCTCCTGCTGTTTTATTTTTTGTTCGTAGCTACTCTATACATATGTCCCTACTTATACCCTGCCACGCCCTCCCTATTTTCAGCCCTTCCACGCCCCTATTCAAGCCATCTTGTTCCGTCTTTTAACCATTTTGCCTTGCGTTCACCGCGCCGGCGGCAAATTTCAAAATGGACACCATTTTTTTTGGCTTTTCTTTTTTTTTTAAACATAGTTTTCTTTTTCTAGTTCATAAATATGACTACTTTTATAAATGCACTTAAACTCACACAAGAAAACACTGAACGAAGTAAAATACAACTTACAAAACCAAATTAGTATTTCTTATAGTTTTCAATATATATATTTTATATGAATATTAAGAAATCAACAGACATATAATTTAAAGACAATTCATTAAAATTGCAGAT